CATTGGGATGGTGTATCTGTCTCAAGTTTTTGTTTCTTCTTTTCATTCATTTTGAGTGTAATTCCACTCCCGATATCAAACTCCTCTGTTTCAGAATATACACTATTTGGGCCAGGAGGTAAAACGTCAACAATATATAGAGGTTTCTCACCAGATCTCCCTCTTTTCAGGTAGGTCGACGGGTCCAGATCTATTCTAGCTGGTTGCACCGGATTCCTGCTACCATCTGATTGGAAGCCAAGAATATCTCCAAGTAGCCCCAGCCCAACCGGGGCTGGCGGTTTATTCCCCCCGGTATCAGCATGAGCAGACGAAACCCCTGCCAGTGAACTTTGAAGTCCCCTGATGTGCCCCCTTTTTAGCTTTAATAGTTCAAAATCTTCCTGTTTCATGTTCATCAATGCGACCTTCGTATCAAATTCTTCTTGAATTAACACATGGGCCATTTCCTGCCTCTTCTATGAACAGTTTGACATAAAAAGCACGTGGTTTCTGGGCTTCTCTCGCGGCAGCAGCCGCACTATCAAAGTCGAATACACTCATCCTAACATTCAGCCTGTATGTAGATCTAACTCACACGCAGCGCCCCTCAGCGATTTATGTATAGACTTATTCATTCGTTGCCATGATTCAATTTTTCCGTACCTCTCGTTGCCATGAATAAATTTTGCCGCCACTGTATGCTTGCCAGCCATCGGATATGGAAGTACGCTAAACTAAAAGCCGGACAATCCTGTCCAAGGGGAGGTAACTCCTACCGTTTAAATTGTTTTCACTCTGGAAAAACACTGTATATAAATCATCTTAAGGTATTCAGGCGCTGATCAGCTTTCACTTTTCCCGAACCAGTAAGAGAGCCTGCTACAAAAACTAGTCTCGGAAGGTCTTACATTTGAAAGACAAGTTTGTTATTTGTTATGTATATCGGTATTTAATGATAATAATGACGTACGATTAAGATGTTCATTTGGTGTGTTTAGGGGTTCCCCTCCAGAAGAGGTCATGGGATGCTCTGTGTGCACAGAGATGCTCCCTCTGTCGGCGACCCGTGAAGATGCCGGGGTAGAATAGGTTTTCAGCAACCCATGCTTGCCGTAAAAGGTGACTATGTTTGTCGTAAAAGGCGACTAACGGGATCGGGTGGTCAGGCTCGCTGACTTGGTTGATGCATATCATCGGTCCCAATTGCGTGGATCAATGCTCATGATATCAATCACTGGATTGTCTGGTCCAGACTCGATTATTGTACAGACCGCCTTCATATAGCTGGAATATTGCTGAGTGCGGCGTTAAACAAAAAACCAACAACAACAACCCTCTGTCGGCCAGGATCCGTGCTTTGTTATGCATTTTAACATTGTACTGCGTGTGATCAATTACTTGTAAATATCAATTTGTTGTTAATCATTTCTCTGAGGTTGTCAGATCACGCCTGAAAGAACTGCTGTCATGGTTTTAATCATAAATCATAATTTGAAAGGTTGCTACATAACTTATAATTTGAAAGGTTGCTACATGGCATACATTAATATTCATGTTAGGAAGAAAGAACTCTTGGTTTCCCATATCATGTGTGTCAAGATGAACCGGAAGAGAGACATACATCAATGTCAGTTGAGGAAATAAATATTTCATACCCCTTTATCATCTCCCTACATGAACCTCATATAAAACATTACAATTAATTTCTTTTTTTTTTGCACTGAAAAGCCCATTGTATGTAACCACCGGAATGGAATTGCTATCTGGCCATTATTGAACGAGATCAGCTCATCGAAGTTAAAGTTCTTGGTCAAACACTTGTTTTGATTTTGTCAAATCGAGCTGGAATTCTTCCTCGTATACATACAGACAGATTAACCAATAGGAGAGCACCACTTGTGCTTATGGGAATGTCTACGTCTTGCCTAAATGTCCTATACCCAAACTTCCCATAAATGTTATGAATGAGGAAGTCCAGTATATCACACATTGGTTTCTCAGCAAACATCATATGGCATTTGCTTTCATTTCTGACAAATTCTCCTAAACCTTGGAACATAGACATGTAAGACATATTGTTATATGGCAGTGTATTTTATTGCTTAACAATAATTGTAGCTGTGTTACATTGTTTCTGTTGAGATTCGATAGATGTGAATTGCATTGTGTTTGGGCAGTGATCAGTCGTCAGAAAGTTACTATATTAAGATGCTAGTGTGGTGGGTAAACTTCCGGTCCGGAATACCGCAGACGATGATAGTATGTTATGGAAACTTCTTTAATGTTCTAGTGCAGATGGACTTGTGAAGGCACTGTGTGGAACTTTCCAGTGGCTGGGTAGGTTATATATAAGGGGACAATGACATGTTTACGTATCTCTCACGCATTTTCATCACACCGGAACCAACTTTCATGTGAGCATCGCTCATCAGCCCTGATTCCCTGCCTTGCTCAGCAAGGAAGCTTGACCACTGTTGCCGCTGGGTTAATATATATTATTATCACTGACTTTTGCTATCACCAGTGTATATTTGTATTTGATACTGACAACTGCCATTATATTACGTATTGTCATTGAATATTGTACTACCACTCTACTGTTTAATGCCATTGTAATTACTGTGCAGTAATTTTAATTGATTTGAAAACCTAGTGCTTTTGTAATACATTTGTTGATTGTATATCATTTGTTGGTTGTTGGTTGGTTTCACACTAAATCTATTTTCTAAATTGTTTCAATTTGGGAATCGACACGTAACAATATCCATGATCACCACGTTTAGTTACAAATACCCCATGGATCTAGAATTAAATCGTTTTCGTGTGGGATAGTCCGATTTGATTCTTTAATAAAAGCGATTGAAGGAAGAACGAGGGTAGTGGGATCTTTTGTCGGAATGATTCTTCTGTCGAGGGTATCAAGACCTTATCTCCAGAATTTTTAAAAACGAAATTAAGACTCTGCCAAAAAATTGTCTTTGATATCGACTTTCTCGAGGTTGGAGTTGATTTGCATCCCTAAACAGATATATGCCTGATCTTTCAAAAGATGTCCACTCAATCCCTCCTCCTCCACCCGACTCTTGTAACTCAACTGATCCAACCACCCAAAGCCTGTCATTTTTAAAATGGAGGATATTGTATGTGCCAAGCCCAAAGGCAAGATCATGCCAATATCTCTCAAGAAAGACTCGACAAAAAGAACGTGACCTTATACCTTGAATTCATCTTTGGGAAGTTCAGTTATCAGTGTCAGTTCAGTGTCATCCGTGTAAAAATGGGAGATGGTTAAGGGGTGTTGGGGATATGTGCTACGGAGGTCCAATATGGTACCCCTCCTCTCTGTTGAGTAAGAAACTCAAACGGATTCAATGCCAAACAAAAAAGCTAATGGCTGAACGAATCACCCTGAAATAACCCCCATTTAATTTGAATAGATTCCGAAGGCTGTACCTGCATCACATTGTTGAGTTGTTGAGTTGAGTTGAGTTGACCAGCAACTCATTGAAAGATTTGAGTAAAACAAGTAGTCGTTTAGGTAGGTCAATGCATTGCAGAGACTTCAAAGTCCATTCGTGAATGACAGAATGCTATGCTTTCTTGTAGTCATTCCAGCACATTAAGAGCTTGTGATGTGTTTGAGCCTATTCTAATACAGTTCGATGTCACGAGATTTGTCCAACACTCTTTGTAAAGATCATATATTGTGTATGAAAACATGTAAAAGTGCATTTTTGGATTCAGTGAAGTCACTTTTCTTGACAAGGATTATTGTGCGACCTTTAAAGGGCCACGTAGGAATAGGAGTAAATTAGAATTGATCAGTAAATGAAACTCAACAAAAAGACACATTTTCCAGCACCCTTTTACCACCAGGCCCTGTTGTCTTATTAAGTTTGGACATTTTAATGACATTTTTCAGACAATCTGGAGTTACATAACATAGATACGGCGATGCAATTATTATTATTATTATTATTATTATTATTATTATTATTATTATTAACAGATTAAAATATAAAATGCAGCAAAGAGGGTTTGGGTGATCCTGGCACAGTCAGGCTGGTTAGGCTCATCATCAGCTCAGGGCCCTGGCCCCCTCTACACGCAGCCCAGACTGCAAATGGGACTTCATCCCAGGAAGCGCTGCCTCGTCAAACCCACCCAGAACTTTTCGGAGAATGTGAAGACTCCTCAACACTGCATCCTTCTGCATTGCCCAGATTGTCAGAAGGGCTGTGTTCCTGGCAGCAAACCCGGGTAATCTCCCAATATCAGTCAAAGATAGGAGGTAACAAACCTAATGCACCGAGAACAATGGGGAGTCGGACGACTTGGTACTTGGGATGTGTTACATTTCGAAAACGAGGTCGTTTACGAAAACTGTGGAATGCCTTGTTTTCATCATGAGTCAAAATGCTTCAAAAGATGATCATCTACAAACAAATAAATATGTTCAAAGTGCACAATACAGTTCTATCGTGAAGAACCGCCACGTTAATCAAACTATGCCCTCCCATAATAATTGGTAAATATAAACGATTGAGGGAAGAGCGAGGGTGGTGGGATCTATTGTCTGATTCTTCGTGTGGGGGTATCAATACCCTGAATTTCTACTTCTTCTTCTTCTTCTTCTTCTTCTTCTTCTTCTTCTTCTTCTTCTTCGTCCGATATAAGTAGTTTTTTAACAGTATGTTAATTGTACACTCGATGGACGGTTAGTCAATGAAAGAAAAATGTTTAACACTGCTAGGTGTATGTGTCGTGTCAGAACAATAATTACTTTTGTAATCTTCTTCGGAATTATATAAGGACTTAAAACAACTACACTTGCTCGTTAACTGGCTACATTGTAGAACACATTTCATCCATCCCGAATAGCACACTATACTGACTGACTGCGGTGTCAGTGTTCATCACTGAACCATATTCATTGATTTAGCTTCATTACATGTGAAAGATCGATAACTGTCGGGCATGCGCCAGAACAACCACTAGACGCCAGATGCTTATAGCCGTATAAAACCACACCATACAGTGACCGACTGGTGAGAAGTTCGTGCGGATACAACTTTACTTTAAGGCGTCATGCACTGGAAGATCATGTAGAGAAATTTGACGACTGACCCACCATGTCGCCTTGTGTTTCAATTTACAGACTTTTATGTCTTTTTTTTCTTGGATTTCAAGGTAAGAACTTAAACTAAACATTTAGATAGTTTAAAATGTTATATCATTTCAACCTTCAATAATACATTTGGTGCCGTAAGTATTACATAAAATATAAAATATATGTCTATGCTGAATCAGTAAGAAAACGCAAAACATTATGGATAACAACTTCTGGCTTATTGCGATGTAGATTCTTACACCGTTATTAATGTTACCCCAGTTTGATAACGGTGTGGGAATCTACATCGAAACGTCGCTACATGCAATAACCCAGAACTTGTTATCCAGAAAGTTGTACGTTTTCTTACCTACTCACCATCTTTCACAATACCATTAAATTATGCCGAATCAGTTGATCAGTTCAATGTTTTTAGCTATGAATTTGTTCTATGAATTTGTTCTATGAACTTGTTCTATGAATTTGTTCTATGAACTTGTTCTATGAATTTGTTCTCTCAGTTTGTTCTGGGAAGTGAGTAAGTGAGTTTGGTTTATTGACAGTGTCTCAGCTATATCACGGAATGTCAGCGCGATGTGGGAGAAGAGCGGGATGTGGGATATTAAACGTCAATTTATGACAGATCAACTGCGGTCAATAGTATAAAGTGTATAAGACGTCTCCTTGAATTCGCTGTGCGGTGTTGTTAGTAGTTTGTCACGGCCAACACGCCGTGATACAACGGAAATACTGTAGTGTTAAAATGAACTCACTCACTCACTCACTTTAGAAAAACGTGTAAAACGTGGTTTAAATATTAATTATAGGTCACTTGTCTGAAAGTCGAGTGAGCTTATGCCATGGTCTGCTTGTCTGTCGTATTTTTTATATCATAAAAGCAACAGGACATACGAAGATGAAACTGCACATAGGTTCGAATCTTATTTTCAATATGACGGCCATGTCAGACATATTGAAAAAAACTTTTCATGGCAATTATTCAGCCAAGTATAGTTTTACAATGTATAGTTTCACAATATTTTAACCTTGATCTTGATTTGGCGTGGGCGGTCGGGTAGCCTAGTGGTTAAAGCGTTCGCTTGTCACGCTGAAGACCGGGTTCGACTCCAGACATGGGTACAAAGTGTGAAGCCCATTTCTGGTGTCCCCCGCCGTGATATTGCTGGAATATTGCTAAAAGCGGCGTAACACCATACTAACTCACTTGATTTGACGTTTGCCTTTTGACCTTGCGCTAAACCATTTGTGTTCAAATATTGTATCTGCATAGTCAGTAGTAGAATATGGCCCCGTCCACCTATGCTACTCAAACGTAATAGGCGACTAAATGGATCGAATGGTCAGGCTCGGCGATGCATGCAATCATACCCCGTTCGCACCATCAATTGCTGGTTTCTTTGGTCCATAATAAATTAATGCGTCGTTAAACAACAAACAAAAATCGTTATATGTTGACCATAAACATATATGTTGCATAGATCGATCCCATACTATGCATCTCATCCTTTTTTTGTTAATCCCGTAGTATGTTGGTATCCTGTGTTGTTGATCCCATACAAGGTATCCCATCCCCCCATTTCTTCACACTGTAATCTTTATCATATTATCTTTTCTGGATCATGTACCATATATCCCACCCTCCCATGTGTCGATCCTGCACCATTTATCCCATACTCCCATGTGTCGATCCAGCACCATATATCCCACCCTCCCATGTGTCGATCATGTACCATATATCCCACCCTCCCATGTGTCGATCATGTACCATATATCCCCTACTCCCATGTGTCGATCCTGCACCATATATCCCATACTCCCATGTGTCGATCCTGCACATTATATCCCATCCTCCCATGTGTCGATCCTGCACCATATCCCTCATCCTCCCATGTGTCGATCCTACACCATATATCAGATCTTCCCATGTGTTTATCCTACACCATGTATCTCAAGCTCTCATTTGTTGATCTCGAACCATGTATGTCGGACGTCGTTCTATCATTTGTTGATCCCGTAACATATATCTCATCCTCCCATTTGTTGATCCCGTATTATATATCTTATCCTCCCATTTGTTGATCCCGTATTATATATCTCATCCTGCCATTCGTTGATCCCGTAACATATATCTGATCCTCCCATTTGTTGATCTCGTAACATATATCTCATCCTGCCATTTGTTGATCCCGTAACATATATCTGATCCTCCCATTTGTTGATCCCGTATTATATATCTCATCCTGCCATTTGTTGATCCCGTAACATAAATCTGATCCTCCCATTTGTTGATCCCGTATTATATATCTCATCCTGCCATTTGTTGATCCCGTAACATAAATCTGATCCTCCCATTTGTTGATCCCGTATTATATATCTCATCCTCCCATTTGTTGATCCCGTAACATACTAGTATATCTCATCCTCCCATTTGTTGTTCCCGTATTATATATCTCATCCTCCCATTTGTTGATCCCATATTATATATCTCATCCTGCCATTCGTTGATCCCGTAACATACTAGTATATCTCATCCTCCCATTTGTTGATCCCGTATTATATATCTCATCCTCCCATTTGTTGATCCCGTATTATATATCTCATCCTCCCATTTGTTGATCCCGTAACATATATCTCATCCTCCCATTTGTTGATCCCGTATTATATATCTCATCCTCCCATTTGTTGATCCCGTATTATATATCTCATCCTGCCATTTGTTGATCCCGTAACATATATCTCATCCTCCCATTTGTTGATCCCGTAACATATATCTCATCCTCCCATTTGTTGATCCCGTATTATATATCTGATCCTCCCATTTGTTGATCCCGTATTATATATCTCATCCTCCCATTGGTTGATCCCGTAACATATATCTCATCCTCCCATTTGTTGATCCCGTATTATATATCTCATCCTCCCATTTGTTGATCCCGTATTATATATCTCATCCTGCCATTTGTTGATCCCGTAACATATATCACATCCTGCCATTTGTTCATCCCATGTCCAAAAGAAACGAAACCAACTATCTTTTAAAATATTTTTGTTAAAGGTGATCTATTTAATATGAAAACATACTTAAACAAATCCCACGTACCAAGCAAAGTGTAATTGCTGGGAACATTTGACATTTTGTGTAAAAGACATGCACTTTGCAAAAACGATGTTACGTGCGTAAGCACGAAATTCACGTGCAGATGTACTGTATAAAACTGCTGACCAGACACGTTAGGAACACAACACCAAAACGCACACCAAAGAAATGACACGTTTAACTGCGATAGAGAAGGAGAGAGCCGTTGGACCCAACAGGGAGCGACGCACGCCGTCATTGCCAGAGTGAGTGAGTGAGTGAGTTGGGGGTTTAACCCCGCTTTTAACAGTATTACAGTTATATCGCGGCGTGTCAGCTTCATGTGGGAGGAAAGCCCGAAGTGATGCAGGTCTCAGACGTTTACCACTTCGGTGAAACCCACGAGCACGGGTATGGTGCTAACAAACCTAGAAACATAATCGGGGCGAACCGGGATTCGAACCCACAATCATAGGTTTCTTGCGTGCCCAAGGGACGTAACTCTGCACAGCGAATAGCGGCGCCTTAGACGACTGGGCCACCCGTGCCCCCCCCCCCCCCCCCCCCCCCCCCCCCCCCGTCATTGCCAGAACGTTTGGATGCGTCCGTATAACAGTTACCAGGTTGATGCAACAGTTACGTCAGACAGGCCGGACAACAGACAGGCCGAAAAGCGGAAGACCACGGGCGACCACGCCCATTCAAGACCGCTACATCCGGACAATTCACCTCAGAAACCGCTTCGTCACGGCGACGTTAACGGCAGCGATGACACTGCGACACAAGATCAGTTGACAAACCGTGTACAGGAGATTACGAGCCCATGGTATCAGAGCACATCGACCCTACCGAGGAGTGTTGTTGACACCTCGACATCGCCTCGACAGACTGAGATGGACTAGGAGACTTCGACGTTGGCAACTGCGTGACCGTACACGTGTTGTGTTCTCCGATGAGAGCAGATTCTGTCTCTTTAGGAATGATGGTAGCAACTTGTTTACAGAAGAGTTGGTGAACACTTAGCGCCGAATTGCATTCATCAAGTCCGGGCATTTGGAGGCGGGGGCGTAATGGTGGAATCTGCGGTGACTTGAAACGAGACTCGTGGTTATTCATGCTAACATGAATGCACAGCGATATCGAGATGAAGTTTTTGCGACCAGTTGTGGAACTATTCATCTAGCAGCAGCCTCGTGAATTCATTTTCCAGCACGACAATGCGACGCCGCTTACAGCATGGTTGACGCAGAACGTCTTTAACAACGCGAACATTCACGTTTTACCAAGGCCGTCATGCTCGCCGGACATGGACCCCATTGAACATTTTTGGGACCACCTCGATCGCCAAATCAGAAGTTCCCCAGTGGCTCCGGTCAACCGCCAGCAATTGGAACAATGCCTCCTTGCCAAAAGGCAACGCATTCCCGCCAACGTCATCTGACGCTTGACGTCAACGGTCCGTCGACGTGGCTCAATGTGGACATACCCGATATTAACGTGACATAATGATGAGTATTCTGACATTCTACACACTTGCCTCGTCATGTGTTAGGACTGACTTTTATTGTTGAGCTTACGCGTCTTTATGGGCCTGTCCGACTGCATGGTAACGCTTGATTGCAATGCTTTTGTGTACACATGATGTTAAAAGATTGCTCTAATGAATATACCATGTGAATTGAATGTGAATTTTCTGTATGTTTTTGTTTTCCTTCCATAACCTTTCAAACACTTGGTATCGTTTCTTTTGGACATTAGGGACGGTGGGGTAGCCTAGTGGTTAAAGCTTTCGCTCGTCAAGTCGAAGACCCGGGTTTGATTCCCCACATGGGTACAATGTGTGAAACCCATTTCTAGTGTTCCCCGCCGTGATAATGCTGGAATATTGCTAAAAACGGCGTAAAGCCATACTCACTCACCTTTGGACATTAGTTTATTTATCTCATCCCCCGTAATGTTGATCCCAAGTCTTGTATTTGATCT